CCATAGTGGGAAGTGAATACGGGACCACAGAAAAACAGTTAGAGAAATCACCAGTGGCCAAAGGCAGAACTGCACTGGAAAGATAGGATTTCAGGAGGGCATTATCATCAGCAAGATGAGAACAGAAAAGCATCTGGGAACCGGAGAGCAGTGAAGAGCGACTGAGCAAGGGTTCACACTGGAAAGGGAGTGGCCTGGGTACAGGTCAGGTCAGTGGAAGGAAGGTGAGGAGGTGAGGACAGGGACAAGAAATGAGAGCAGGCTGGGGCTGCAGCCACACAGGAAACACGAGAAGCTCACATTTGACAAGGGATGAAGGAAGGCAGCGATGATGTAGGGCGAAAGAATTGTTCCTAGGATAGAATTATACCAGAGTTCTGCTTCTGATTTCCAATTGCTTCACCCTGCCTCAGAATCCTCATTTCTAATGGGGCTCAGTGATAAGCCTTATCATGAAATACAGGAATATTATGCCAAATAACAAGAAATGGATTGGAAAATGTTCAGGTTGCTTCACAAGACTATTTACACAAGGTGAACTTCACCAGTCTATTGAGTTTAGCTTTAGTTACAACTGAAAATGATGGTGGCTGCAAGCTCTTTTTCCAAATTTTCTTTCTCTGGTTCCATGTATTAAATTATTTACTCAGCAGTCACCAATGACCAAGCTGCTACCCTGTACTAAGATTTAGCATTGTAAAGAGAAAAATATCATATTCTCTATGTGAAAGTTGCACACAGACGGTGTGGAAGACATACCTAAAAAGAACGAGTTAAGAAGTGCTATGATAAAGATATTAACAAAGCGTTACTTAAGGATAGGAGAGGGAGTCTTCTGGCCACTTCCCAAATATCCCCCCACCCCATAGCTTGATTAGTTTATTTCAACTGGAAAGCCCCCTTCAGAACTCTGACCCTCATCCCTGGAAATTTCTACCATTCTTCAGATCCAAGGTCAAATGCCATTTTTTTAACAAAGTAGTTTCTAATCTTAAAATTTGGAATTAATCTTTCCATTCTCTGTGCTTCTATAACCCTTTATTTATATTTCTGTTTACCCCAATTAGTTTTTTAAAAAGTATATATAATGTAGGAATATATATAATTAGATTGTAAGCTCCTCTGACAGCCAGGTGGAGGCCCAATTCATCCTTGGGTCTCCCACAGGCCTGAGCCTGGAGGCTTCTTAAATTGTTCTCAGGGCCTGTTCATTTGGAACAACTAATCTACAGTCCATTTTAGGACACTAAAGTGAGGCTACACTGCCTTCATTCTGGCAGTTGTGAGTCCTTGTTTGCACATGCCAAAACTAATTGCTTGTTTTGCAGATGCATAAAAGAAATGGCCCTTAGACCTTAATCCAATCATTCTTCCCATCTCTTTGTATTTGTAGACATAGAACAGGCAAAACACAAACCAACAACAACAATAAAAAAAAATCTTAAATCAATAAAAAAATGTTCAGTTTGAAAAGGACTTTATATTTAATTTAATTCAACATTTTAATTACAAATGAGGAAACTAAGTCCCAAGAGATTTGGATACTTTTTTGCTATCACATAGGCAGAATCATCTATATCAAATTTTGAGGCCCTTAAGTTCAAGGTTCTTTCTAATAGATCAAGTAGTTTACCTTTAATAAAAAGAAAAGGACTAGCATGATAAAAATAGCACCAAATATACAAAGAAATTCATTGAAAAGCTATGTGCATGATAGAAAAAAGTCCCTATCAGTCCATTTGTCCATTAAGAATATCATGCTTTCACTAACATTAGCAAAAATGTTTGTAGAGTTTGAAGCTTTAATTTAAAAACCTGACTTGCAATTTCCAGATCCTTCACTCTTAGGGTCTCTAATCATTCTATGCAGTTGGCAATGAAATATGTTTGGGTGATACTGATCATTAACAGGTGTTCTCAGCAGTTGTGGAAGTGAAATAATACATCAAGGCTTGTGGAGGGGTGCATGCTCACACATGTTCTCTCTCATCACGACTTAGGCAAATGGAGCAGATGCACTCAAATCTGACATAGTTTATTTGGACCCAGGTCTGCTACTACTACTGCCAGAATGCCTGCCCTTTCCTGGTCCATTCCCATGTCACTGCTTCCTCAGCCCCATTCTGGCAGATCTGACACTATCTCACAGACACCACAGGGCAGCACATGCGAGCATACACTCATGCACAAAACAGGTCTAAGCACTAAATTTAAAACTTACTGGGTTCATATTCTAAAATTCTATTTAGTATTCCAATTGTAAACAAGGAAGTGTATATGTATATGCAGGGATAGGCAAAAATAGGTTTACAGTTATAATACAAATAAATAATACCATATAATAATACAAGATTAAACTCTGTTTCGCATACCACTATAAATCTACTTTTTTGAAGATATGTACTATGTACATATGTACATCTATCTGTCCATCTCATCACAGTGATATTTAACCTCTCAGATGAAGATCCCTTAGTTTTGGGGGCTGGGGGAGGTAGAAGAGGATATAGGGAGAATAAATGGTGATGGAAGGAGACTTGACTTGGGGTGGTGAACACACAGTACAATACACAAATGATGTATCATAGCATTGTACACCTGAAGCTATATAGTTTTATTTACCAGTGTCACCCCAATAAATTCAATAAAAATGTAAAAAAAAGACTAATTAGTTTAAAAAATTCTTTGATTTGCTGCAGAGAAGTGTCTGTGAAAACTGGTTTTCAGTGAGAGACTATTCCCCCACCCCGCCATACACCACTGATCTGCACTTCCCAAGGTCCCTGTAAGGGCACAAGGACAGTGCATGGGTTTTGGAGCTAGCTACACAGAAGCTTAAATATTAGTTCTGCTATTTACTATTTAAGACAATTACTTAACCTCACTGAACAATAATTTCCTTATTTCCAAAATGAGGATATTAATACCTATCTTGGAGGTGCCAGGATTTGAGCTAATGTATGCCAGTGGGTGCTGCCTGGCTGTGCTCAGTAAATAACAGCTATAATGAAGGTGGTGACGAGGGGGAAGAAGAAGACAGGAAGGGTGGGAAAATGGTAGCCTCTACTACTTGAATATCTTTTGTATTTCTAAGCAAGGCTTGGCAGAACTCAGTTGAGCTAGCATTTAGCCAGGAAATATTAAGCTTGAGGTAGGGGAAAGGGAACTACTGATGGGGCAGGGGTGTCAGAGGGGTGACTAGCACCTAATATGTGATTTTCCCATCTTGAGCTTATATATACATATACTTCCACTGCTAAAGGGCATTTACAGTAGTGAATTCGTTATCTTTGAAAAGTCAAGTCCTTTTTTTAATAAGCAGGGTGAACAAATCCCTGTGTCCTAACTGGTGGCTAATCATCGAATTTCCAGTTACAGCAGTAGGTCCTGGCTGTTTGGAACCCCTAGCAATTCTAGTAACTGTGAGATACCCTACAGATTGCAGAACAAATGCCCAGCTCCCTTCTGGAGTCCCGGCCCAGCCACAGGTAGAGCTGCTGCTGTGGTCTCTACTGTCCAAAGTACAACAGGAAGGAGGAAGTCCCAACCTACTTTGGACATGCCCTGAAGGACAGAGCCATTTAGGGCCTGCCTAAGATGCCACTCTGTTTGCAAACACACACTCCTTACCTGTCAGACCTTACCTGTCACTTGACAAAACAATCCATCAGAATGTCTGATGACAAATGACATATTAAAAGAGGCCTGTGCGTCATTCCAGTGATGACTCTACAGGAATCAATTAAACAAGGAACAAGACCTGTTCTAAGCATGATCATCTGGCATTTCCCAAGGAGCTGTAGTCAATGGCTGATAAAGCACAAGTGATTATACTTATAAAGATTTAGCAGCCCTCTCCTTGCTCAAAAGCAGCTAGAGCTCATGAGGACAATAAACTTGGAAGACCTCCAAAATTAGAGGTAAGGAAAATGCTGCATCTGAAGTCAGCACTGCTCTTCCTCATGCATAGAAAGCAAAGATTTGGGGTTGCATGAGGTCATCTTTTAGCCACTACAAAGGCAGACTGTTCCCAGGAATGCTCAGGAGTTTGTCTGGCAGTCTAGGGCTAAAGTCAGTTGTTATGTTTCCAGGTGAGAGAAAGGATTGGCAGTAGTCCATTCTCTGCTTCTAGGAGTGCTTTCCAAGTACCAGCATCTAGGATTTTGTCCAGCAGACATGGCCAAGATCACTGTAGTGCAAATGTCCTTCCCTAGAAACCATGTTTTTACTAGCTTTGAGTGGATTGAAGAGGATCATTTAACAAATCTAATGAGAGTGATGTCAAGTTCTAAAACCTCCAGGAGAAAGACAGTAGCTGGAAGCAGAAATGCTTTTCAAGGTTGCAGTTCAAGATCAGCCAGGCAGACACCTGTATATATAGAAAAAGCTTCAAACACCACCACCTCATCACACCTAATGACTGCCTGTGACAAGCACTTGCATTCTCTATTTCTGGCTTTTCCAGCAACAATAATACGTGCTTTTTATACTTGGTCCTGGTTCTGAACCTATTCTTTAGTGCTAATCTGTTCTTTTTTCTTCAATAAGCAAGGCCAGGTAAGTTGGAAAGGAAACACTTTTCAGTTTTAATTTTGATCCAGATCTAAAATTGTTAATGACTTTTTATTCCTTACCCTTTTTCTGTAAGTGATTCAAGTAAATGCACCCCTCACATACCCTGACCCCAGCATTAAGAGGGAAATATTCTTAGAATAAGGCTATCAAGTAAAAACCAAACCAAACCAAAAAAACACAAACGATAAAAAAAAATGGTGCTTCCATTCTCCTGAGTCCCCTTTTCCAACCATGCAGTGTACTTAAATCTCTTTACAGCAGCTGCTCCAATGTTAAATAAAGTTTTTGGTTTGGAAATAAAAAGAGGTTTAGTTCAGGTCGCTGACAATTATTTTCTCAGCACAATAGAAAAGCAACCCAACCCATTAACAACACTATAATGGCAGAAGCAAACACAGTGGGAACAAGCAGGAATAGAAGAATACCTGGGATTGCCAGATGGGAAAGGGGGACGTTGTAGAGGTGAGGGGGCAGCGAGGCCATCCAGTCGGCATTGCAGACCTCCGATGATGTCTTTGTCCCGCTGGGGTTGGGGGAACAGATGCTCCCCATCCTGAGTTTCCTCCTTACCTTCCTAACTGCTAGCATCCCTCTCTGTCAGTCAACAAACTGCCCAGGCTGCGTCCAGTGCCACTCACTCAGTGATCATCATTGCTCGGGCTCTCTAGACATTTCAGGGCCACCTTTTGTCACACCAGTCTTGGCAAAAGGCCTTTCTGCCTGGGAAGACGGGGAAAATAGGTGGTTTCCTGCCCCTCCTCCCCCAGCACCCGCAGTCCCCACCCTCTCCGGCCGGCGGCAGTTCCCCTCCCTTAAGCTGCTCAGTCCGGGCTCCGTTAAACTTCTTACGTTCCCCGCTGGAGCTCAGAGAAGGTAGACCCAAGAGATAAATCTTACAATGACTGAAAGTCCGAAGACCAGCCACGCCCAGAGCTACTCATAAGACAGGTGCCTACACAGCATACAGAAATGCCGGTGGGTTTATACACCCGGGAGCCCCGGGACACACCATCATCAGCCTGATTTAGGCTTCTAGGTATGTCACTGGGCTGGCACATAAGCTGGGCCTGCCTCCTATCCCTCCTTGGCTTCTCGTCTCACACTCCTCCCGCCCTGTGCTTCCTGAAGGCGCTCAGAAGTGTAACCAGCGGCGCACGGACAGCCGGCAGCCCCGCCCCGCACTGCCGGGCAGATTTGCCGGGCAAGGAGGCCCGTGATTGGCCGCCAGCGGAGTGCTCTCGGATTGGCCCGCGCCTTTGCCCCAGTGGCTCCCGTCCCTCCCCTCCACTGCCCCAGTCCCCTCCCTCCGTTACTCCTGCCTTTCAGCACGCAGGCAGACGCAGCTGCAGAACTGCAGGCAGGGAAACTTGCAGCTTGGCATGAGCTGGATCTCAGACAGGTCTTCTTTCCTCGGGCCTTTGTGCAGCTCGCACTAGCTGTTAAATGTGACCATAAATGTTTATGTGGCCTCCACACACGTACAGATTCACACATGCACATGTACACACACGCAATGACAGTTACACAGAAAGCATTACATTTACAGTAAACCTCAATGGCAGCAGAAATACAAGAGGTGAATAGGCTGAGAAAGGTACTATATCTTATAGCTGGATGACAACATCAGGAATGGTTTGTGTTTCAACTATTGCATAATTAAGATTCACCTACACACCACTTATCCCCATTTTACAGAGGAGGAAATAGTGGCACTTTACATTTGTATTCCCGGTTTTTTTTTTTTTGAAACTTCTTCCAAATTCTTCGTCCCATTTGCTCTTCACAGTAGCCCCATGAGGCAGGGAGGGTCTCTGGTAAGACCCCCTTTTCTCAGATGAAATGGACGTCTGGGGCCGTTCAGGGAGCACTGTTTTGAAGTCTCATTTTGGAATGAGGGCAGTAGGCACTCAAACTCGTTTCCCTGCCTTCTGCAAAGTTCCTTGCTCCTTCAAATGGTACTTTCTTATGGCGGTAAACTATAGGATCTTTTATGATCTGAGAATTTAGCGCGTCAGTAATCTTAGGGACATCTTAACAAAGTGGCAAATCAGGAAAACACTCTGGCCCTGAGGGTAGGGTCTTGGAGGGCTTCGGGCCACGCTGCTCCTAAGTGACTCAGCAGGGGCTTGTAGGAGGCAGAAACAGCAGCAGTTGCTAAGACTGAAGGTTCATATAGAGATCGGTGGGTCAGCTGACATTTAATTACCAAGTGGCCCCACCTCATCTCCAAGGTAACTCCACAGAAGGCCCCAGCCACCTTTCTCTAGGAATAATTGCGCATTGCTCCCTTTGGACATCCTTATTAAAAATTTCCTCTTACAGGCTATTCTTTTTTTTTTTTTAAGATTTTATTTATTTATTTTTAGAGAGGGAAGGGAGGGAGAAAGAGAGGGAGAGAGAAACATCAATGTGTGGTTGCTGGGGGTCATGGCCTACAACCCAGGCATGTACCCTGACTGGGAATCAAACCTGTGACACTTTGGTTCGCAGGCTGCGCTCAATCCACTGAGCTATGCCAGCCAGGGCCAGGCTATTCTTAACATTCAGGTAAGCCTGCTTTTCAACCTTTTGAGCTGCATACTATTACCAACAGTTTTGTTTGTTTTTTTCCTTTTCTGGATGAGTATCCCTTGGTTAATAAAAAGTATACACTATTCATTATGTGTCTCCTGATGCTTAAAGGGTACTTCTGCAAAGTGCTCTTTTTTAAAGTGCATCACAGGATATTGGGAGTATGTAATTTAGTTGTTTGAGTCGACCAAATTTTTTTCTCCCTGGAAAATTACTCTGAAGGAATACCCCAAGAGTCACCTTTGAAACTTTCTGGGCTTACCTTGAACTTAAACTTTTAAATTCCCAAACATAAAACTTTATAGAAGCTACCCATGACAAAGAAAATGTATTTTTTAAGTGCTACTGTGGGATGTCAGTTTTGGTTTTTTTTTTCTCCCCTCCTTGTTTTTCAGCTTTTAGTGGAAGGAGTGAGCATATTAAGGAAGTATTAAACTTTAGGCTAAGAAACATCATCATGTATGAGAACTTGAAAACAAGAGGAATGGAACTACTTCAGAATGAGATGTTGTGTACCTCTGGCAGCTTTTTCAATAAAAACTACTTTATTTGCCCAAGAAAACAATTCAAAAGGAGGCAACACTTTCTCCATATATTCTTATATGAGTCCTGGAAGAAATCTTGCAAATGGAGTTAATTGAGACTTCTGGCCAAGATGGAGGCAAAGGTAGACATATTGTGCTTCCTCGCACAACTAAAATAAAAACAAGAACAAATTTTAAAACAAGAAACAACCAGAACCTACAGAAAATCAAACTGTATGGAAATCCAACAACCAAAGAATTAAAGAAGAAACATTCATCCAGACAGGTAGGAGGGGTAGAGACAGACAGTCAGGCAGAGAGGACTTATAGCAAGGTTGAGGCTGGCGGACCCAGTGAGGCAGTGGATTACAGATTGGGCAGTCCCACATTTGCATGCAGATAAACTGGAAGGAACAATTGGGGAGTGAGAACACACATCCCAGGGTTCCAGTGTGGGGGAAATAAAGCATCAAAACTCTGATTGAAAACACCTGTGCGGGTTGAGGTGGCAGTGGGAGAAACTCCCAGCCTCACAGGAGAGTTCATTGGAGAGACCAACAGGGTCCTAGAATGTACACAAACACACCCACCTGGGAATCAGCACCAGAAAGGCCCAATTTGATTGTGGGTAGTGGGGGAAGTGACTGAAAACTGGCAGAGAGTGGAGCAAGCAGCATTGTTCCCTCTTGGACCCCTCTCCACATACAGCCTCACAACACAGCAATGTGGGTTGCCCTGACTTGCCCCTTACTACCTAACAGGTGCCAAGACAAAAAATGGCCCAAATGAAAGAACAGACCAAAGCTCCAGACAAAATACAACTAAGTGACAAAGAGGTAGCCAATTTATCAGATGTATAGTTCAAAACACTGGTAATCAGGGTGCTCACAGAATTGGTTGAATATGGTTGCAAATTAGATGAAAAAATGAAGGCTGTTCTAAGTGAAATAAAGGAAAATATACAGGGAACCAACAGTGATGGGAAGGAAACCAGGACTCAAATCAGTGGTGTGGACCAGAAGAAAGAAAAAATCACTCAACCAGAGCAGAATGAAGAAATAAGAATTCAAAAAAATGAGGAGAGGCTTAGGAACCTCCAGGACATCTTTAAACATTCCAACATCCAAGTCATAGGGGTACCAGAGGGAGATGAGGAAGAGCAAGAAATTGAAAACTTATTTGAAAAAATAATGAAGGAGAACTTCCCCAATCTGGCAAAGGAAATAGACTTCAGGGAAGTCCAGGAAGCTCAGAGAGTCCCACAGCAGTTGGATCCAAGGAAGAACACCCCAGGGCACATCATAATTACATTAGCCAAGATTACATGTAAGGAGAGAATCTTAAAAGCAGCAAGAGAAAAGGAGACAAAGGAGTGCCCATAAGACTGTCTGCTGGTTTCTCAAAAGAAACCTTGCAGGTAAGAAGGGGTTGTATTTCAAGTTATGAAAGAAAGGCAAAGACCTACATCCAAGTTTACTCTATCCAGCAAAGCTATCATTTAGAATGGAAAGGCAGATAAAGTGCTTCCCAGAAAAAGTGTTCCTCATCACCAAATCCTTATTATATGATATGTTAAAGGAACTTACCTAAGAAAAAGAAGATAAAAATATAAACAGTAAAATGACAACAAACTCACAGTTATTAACAACCAAACCAAAAAAAAAAAACAAAACAAAACAAAACCCAAACTAAGCAAACAACTAGAACAGGAACAGAATCACAGAAATGGAGATCACATGGAGGGTTATCAGCAGGGGAGTGAGTGGAGAGAGAGGGGGAAAAGGTACAGAGAATAAGTAGCATAAATGGTAGGTAGAAGATAGACAGAGGGGAGGTAAAGAAAAGTATAGGAAATGTAGATGCCAAAGAACTTATATGTATGACCTATGCACATGAACTAAAGTGGGGAATGTGGGTGGGAGGGGGTGTGCAGGGTGGAGGGGATAAAGAGGGGAAAATGGGACAGGGACAACTCTGATAGCATAACCAATAAAATACATATTTTAAAGAAGAAATCTTACAAATGGAATCACAGAATCTAGTACAGTACATGACTTGTAGCAGGTGCTCAATAACTATTTGTTAGCAGGAAGGAGATGCTTGGTAAACATGCTCTGCTGGGTTCTAGGTAGTACATTAGAACAGTGCTTTTCACGCCTTAAGTGCAAAACAATCGAATCAATCATGATTGAGTTGGTCGGAGATGGCACAAGAGTCTGCATTTCAAATAAGTTTCTGGCCTTGCTAGATACTGGTTCAGACCACACTTTGAGTACAGGACCTTAGAAAGCAGGCTCATGTTTGAAGAGTTGGACTCTGTATTTCTCTCTCTTTTCCAAGATTGTATAATATTTTATATCACTTTTATAATGAAAAAATTTTGCATTAAAAAATCTAGCAAAGAATCTCTAAGTATTAGGAAATATTTTTTTCTGTCATAAAATGTAATAGAAACTAGATTATGAGTGGCATTTTTATACTATGTCATAGGTATTTAAGGAATAAATAATTCTAAAATAATCAGTATTTAGAATTTGATAGTTAATATTGTCTTACATTACTATATTATGACTGATCGAAGGAAGACAGGACTAAATAGAAGTATTGATATCTTAAAGCAAGTCATTTGTAATTAATAATTACAATCAAATGGAGTACTTATTATTTAAAAATCATTCTTATAAGTACTAGAAATAGAAGAAAGGTTAAATAAAAGTTGGTATTTAATGAACCTTATATAATATATAATCCAGAAGAAAGTCAAATATGTGAAATTACAAATTGTAATGGGAAGCTGAGTGAAAGGATAATAGAGGTACGTGTGGAGGCCAATGAAGAAACAGACATTTTGGTGGGGTAAGGGTCAAGAATGCATTATTAGAGGAGCTGGCATTCAAGCCAGGTCTGGAAAACTTTCTGCAAATGGAAAATGAGTGCAGGGTTCTGGAGTGGGTAAGAGATTTGTAGCTGAGAAAATGTAAGCAAAGCTATGACAATGAATGGAGATGTGAAAAACAGCACATGGAATAAGTGGGAAATAGAACTCATTT